TTATCAATCAATCCCGACCGGTTCTAGTACATTCCCTGAAGTGAATGCAACTCATCTAATCATAATAGTCAAGAGTCTAACCGAGGTCGTGGAGGTTATCATAATTATCATAAAAATAACAAGATTACAAGTAACCACTAGAAGTTGGAAAACAACAAAAATCCACATCCTAATGATAAAAGTGGTCAAGGCAAAAAAAAAATGAAAATGTTTATCACTAATGTGGAATGACCGATCATTAGTCTTGTACATGCCGCTTACCAAAGCATTTTGTTGATCTTGATCAAGATTATCTAAAATATAAAGAAACATATCGAAACAAATTTTATTCGAAGTGATATTCATGAAGATCAACCAGAAATGACACATTTGGATGTTGCCGATTTTCTTGTCTACCGAGAAGGGACAAGTGGTGATATGGATGGTGATTGAAGAATAATGTGTAGTTTTGTTTCATGTCATTTATTATGTTTTTATGTCATATTCATATTATGAGAAATGATGTCATCACAATCTTATCAATGAAATAAAATATGAATTTATTTCTCCAAGGCGAATGTTTTTTATGTTTTATTTATTTATTGAAAAGAAATATAGATATTCGCAAAAGAAATAATGAAGATATATTTCTTGCAGACAATGCAATAACACATAACGTTTTTAATAATGAAAAGTATTTTGCTTACTTATCAATTAGAGAAGCAAATGTTAATATAATAACAAGTAATGCAAAAATGATTGAAGGCTCCAGAAGAGAGAATATAATATTACAACAAGGGATACTAATTACGAATTAGTGATGCATTATTTTGTCTAAATCACCAAGATTGAAGGCTCCGGAAGAGCGAATATCATATTACCACAAGGGACAATAATTACAATTGGAGATGCATTATTTTCATCAAAATCACCAAGAAATTTATTAAGTTTTAAAGTTATTCGGTCCAACGGATATCATGTTGAAACAACCAATGATGGTGATAAAGAGTATCTAAATATTACAAAAATGATATCGGGTAAGAAAAGTCTTTTGGAAAAATTACCCGTATTGTCCTCCGGATTGTATTATACAAATATTAGAATGATTGAATCTCATGCTATTGAAAATAAAAAAGGTATGATATTACCTTCATAGTTTAGCATGACCGGTTGGGCCATCACGGATCAATTATGGTAAGTAGAGTAAATGAAACTTCAAGTGGTCATTCCTTGAAAAACCAGAAGATTTTTCAAGATAATGAATTGTGTTGCATGCTCTCAAGGAAAATTAATATTCAGTCCATCATTGAATAAAGTTGGGTATGAAAGTCTTAGTTTCTTACAAAGAATTCAAGATGATATATATATGGACTAATTCATCCAACACCATGTGGACCATTTAGATATTTTATGGTTTTAATTGACGTGTTAACTAGATGGTCACATGTGTGCTTGTTGTCTAGTCATAATTTGGTTTTTGCAAGATTACTTGCATAAATAATTTGCTTAAGGGCACATTTTACCGATTACCCAATTATGAAAATTTGACTTGACAATGTTGGAGAATTTACATCATATGCTTTTAATGATTATTCCATGTCGATTAGGACAACTATTGAACATCATGTTGCATATGTTCATACACAAAATGGTTTAGTTGAGTCGTTAATCAAACACTTTTAATTAATTGCAAGACCATTACTAATGCATTCTAAACTTCCTATATTGACATGGGGCATGCAATTTTACATGCAACATCACTTATATGAATAATGACAACTAGTTATCATGAGTTCTTCCCTATTCAACTGGTTTGCGGTCAGTAACTAACTATTTACCATCCAAGGATGTTTGGATGTATAATTTATGTACCCATTTCTCCACCTCACTTCATAAAAATGGATCCTTAAGAAGAATGAGAATTTATGTTGGATATGAATCTCCATCTATAGTAAAATATTTAAAATCATCAATTGGAGATTTATTTACAGCTATATTTGATGATTATTATTTTGATGAATCATATTTTCCAACATTAGGCGGAGAAATAAAGAAGTTGGAAAATAAAATCTCTTGAAAGGAATTGTCACTTTCAGTTTTAGATCCTCGTTCAAGTCAATGTGAACTTGAAATAAAAAAGATAATTCATTTACAAAATGTAGCAAATCAATTGCCAAAAGCATTTACTGACCCTAGGTAGGTAACAAAGTCTCATGTACCAGCTATACTTACTCAAGTTAGAATTGATATCCCAGAAGGAAGAAAAAAAATACAACTGCAAATGAATCTTAGGCACGCCTGAAGTGTGGAAGATCAGCCGGTTCCAAAGATAAAAATCCTCGAAAATGAAATGAAGCAAATACAATTGATGGTCCAAAAGAGAAAACATAATCTTTTGAAAAGATTAATGAAGCTCCAGAAGAGCCTAATGACATAACAAAAGAAAATAAGGTACCTGAAAAAAATGAAAATGATGAGATCTCAATAAATTATGTCATAACAAGAATAAGATGGAACCGAAATAAGATAGATGTCGATGATAATTTTTCATATCATGTTCTGCGCGCGATTATAATGAAAATGAGGATCTTGAACCTAAATCTATTGAGTATTGTATGAATAGAAAATATTGGCCAAAATGGAAAGATGAAATAAATAAAGAGCTTAATTCTATTACTCGACGAAAAAAAATGGACCTGTAGTCCGTACACCAAACAGAGTAAGAACAGTGGGACACGAATGGGTATTTGTGCGCAAAAGAAACGAGAAAAATGAAGTTGTGAGATATAAAGCAATACTTGTTGCACAAGGTTTTACCTAAAGACCCGAAATCGATTATGAAGAAACGTATTCTCTGGTAGTTGATGCAATTAAATTCAGTTATTTTATAAGTTTAATAACATATGCAGAACTGGAGATGTGTCTAATGGATGTATTTACCGCTTATTTATATGGTTCACTTGAAAATGATATTTATATGAAAATCACAGAAGGGTTTAAGGTGCCAGAAGCACAAACTTCTTATTCTCGTGAAGTATATTTGGTAAAATTAAATAAATCTTTGTATAGATTGAAACAATCTGGCCGTATGTGCTTCAGTTGTTTTATTACATTTCTGTTGAAAGAGTGCTATAAAAATGATCCATCAAGCTCATGTGTATTCATAAAAAGATCCATATAAGAATTTATCATAATTGATGTTATTGTAGATGATTTGAACATAATTGGAACTCCTAGAGAATTGGAAAAATGTCACTTCTTGTTTGAAAGAAACTTTTGAAATGAATGATCTTGGTAAGATGAAATTTTATTTGGGTCTTCAAATTAAGCACAAAAAAATGGAGTTTTTGTACATTAATATCTAGAAAAGGTGCTAAAAAGGTTTTATATGAATAACTCACATCCATGAGTAACCCGAAGGTGGTAAGGCACTTAGATGCCAAAAAGGACCAATTTCAGCATCATAAAAAGCATGAAAATCTTCTTGTTCCCGAAGAACTATATCTTAGTGCTATTGGTGCACTAATATATCTTACTATTAATACAAGACCTGATAAATCTTTTGTCGTAAACTTATTAGCAAGATATAGTACTTGTCCAACAAGAAGATATTGGAATAGAGTCAAACACATTCTTTGATATCTTCGAGGTACAATGGATATGAATTTATAATAATCAAATTCATAAAATGTGAAGTTAATTAGTTATCCAGATGTTGGATATTTATCTGATCCACACAAAGCTCGATCCCAAACTGGTTATTTATTCACTTGTGGAGGTAACACAATTTCTTGTCATTTTGTTAAACAAACTTTAGTTGCTACTTATTCTAACCATGCAGAGATTATAGCAATTTATAAGGCAAGTCATGAATGTATTTGGTTAAGAACTTTAACTCAATACATTTGCAAGAATTGTGGTCTAACTTCTAACAGGGATGTTCCAACCATACTATATGAAGATAATACAACTTGTATAGCTCCATTCAAGGAAGGATTTATCAAAGGAGACAGAACCAAGCATATATCACCAAAGTTTATTTCACTTATGATCTTCAAAAAGAGTGTGACATCAACATCTAGAAAATTCAATCCAGTAACAACTTTCCTGATTGGTTTACTAAAGCACTTCCTACATCGAAATTTGAAAAGATGGTACGAAACATTGTTATGCGGTGCTTCAAGAAAATCAAGTGATGTGCTAATCAGGGGGAGTTGGAAACATATTGTACTCTTTTCCTTAGTTATGTTTTTCCCACTGGGTTTTCTTAACAAGGTTTTTAACGAGGCAATTGTTTCCAATATCTATTATTAATCATGTACTCTTTTTCCTTAATAAAGGGTTTTTCCCATGAGGTTTTACCGATTAAGGTTTTAACGAGGCATGATACAATCGTCATTCAAGGGGGAGTGTTATGAATTATTATTTAGTGAATGAATATTGGATTCTCCATATTCCCCCATTACTCTCCATAATTAGTGAAAATTATAGCAAACATTATTATAAGTTTTATGAGTGTAGTTATGCCCTACTATAATAAGCATTCATATCATACATCACCTTTCATCTTCTTTGTCTAGTATAAATAGTAAATATTATGTATTGTAAAGTTGGATGATTTCATCACAAGTATTGGAATAAAAGTTCTCTCTACTCTCATGTCTTTCTTTATTTTATAATTTATCTTATTATTTGATCATATTTTATAACAATAAGTCATTTAATAAATGTTATTATAACATTGGTACCCTTAAACAATCTCTTCCACTAATCATAATAGTATAGGAAACATAATATTGAATCGTTACTAAAACCCCAATAATACCAAGCACCATCAATTGCCACTACCTATCAAAAAGTAATAATGTAGTGTGGTGAAATATGTCACGTGTATGTAAAATATATATTCAGTTTTATATGAAGTCGTGTATGTAATAATATCATGTAACTATGTAAGAATAGTAGTGTATTGGTGTATAATTGATAGTGGGTGGTGGCGTGATAGTTTTATGTCAATATGTGAATAATATTGTGTAATAATGTCATCAATACAAGGTGCATGTAGTCTTTGAGCCTTTATTTTCTCTGATCTTCTCATCGAAAAAATTATGAAAAAAAAGAGTTCACTTTTAAATATCTATTGAAGTTTGAATAGCATATCACATATCAAAAATACTATCCAAGATCATCATACCCCAAGTTATCTAATCTCACGTTGTCAATGCCACTTGTCTTTAAAGTAGGACGATCCACCTGGAACAAAAACAAGATAAGATACCCAATAATTCAAATGAGACAATTTTGTAGAATTCTAGTGTCCTCCAAAACTGTGAAACTAAATTAAAGAGGCGGTATTTACTAAAAAGCCCTTGTAGCCTCATCGCATAATCAAATAATCACAACGTTTGTCTCCTTCACCATGGAACCCCTGTTATCAATTATATTACTCTATCCCCTTCATTTTCTGTTAAATTAATATTTCTAACTATCCTCAACAATTAACATCAAGTTGAGCATCAGGTCACTTTTTCACAGTGAATTCATCCAAAAAAATCTTTTCAGTACAACCATAGGAAGAAGGGGTTTGGTGCAATTGAATCAATTCCACACACTCGAAGTTATCATTACGTGCCCAAATCATCCCCCTATTCACAAAACCCAAATTCTACCCAATAATGCAGAAAAAAACAAGTTCAGAAACACAACAAATAATTGATTTTCTTGAACCAAAAACATACACCCAAAAGCAATGTAATACCATAACGAACAAGCAGCAACATAAACCAAAAACAACGAATTATTGTAAAAAAAAAAAAGGGCAAACATTAAAATTTCTCTTCATTAGTCGAAATTTAGATGCTCACGAAACCATGAAGAGCATATGTACACTTTAATTTTTCGACTTCCTCGAATCCAATTAGATGTTAAGATGATTCAATCCATCCTGCAATTTCAAACATTCATCATATCAATAACTTAGCACCTTAACCAATTCTGTCATTCTCATTGCCAAAATGGAGGGAAAAATAATGATTTTTTATTTATTCGAACTTCTACTTCCATGAAAACGAGATAGATATAAAGATTAATGGCGAAACAAATATGGTATAAGTGGGAAGACTTACTTCTAAAGCCACCGGATTCGAGTAAAGCCATGGAGGGGGAGGCCAAAAGAGCTGAGAGTTAGCAGAATTATTAGCAATCGGCCCAATGTTACCACTCTCCAAATCAAACACACCCAAACCACGATTCTTCATCAAACCATCATCTTCCCTACTTAGCCCAGTGAAGAACACACAATTACCTTTGCATCCAGGGAAATCCGAAGCAGAAGCTGAAAACCCACAATTATCGCCTATAAACAGCATTCGATCACCCAAACTTTTCACCTCGATCCACCTCTGTTCTTCGTGATCCAACTTGTACACCTCAAGTTTCACAGTTCTTTCACTCATGAAACAATCGAAATCTTCATAAAACTCGTTCTCATCATCATAATCGAAATCATTGTCAGGTCCAACGCTCAAAAACTTATCAACCATGAACAATTCCCCCATGGATTCCAACAGAAACTTCTTATCCCCGCCGAACACAGAATTCGCTATGACCTTCAGTCTCGTCTCTGAATCCATAACCAGAACAACAGTCCTGCCGGTGATATCCACAGCGTAGAACTCCCCTTTATAGAATATCACGTCGTCGTAAGGCGATGGCAGATCGTTGATTATGTTCCATTTCTTCTCTCCGATTTTCAACAGAGCCAATCTTCCACTAGTGTGAATCGTCAATAACATGAACCCATTAACCCCCGACCTACAGAACGCAACCTTCTCCATATAAAGGGTTACGGAATCCCCAATTGAATTCGCATGAGGACGATAATTAATGTACTTTAAGACATACTCTTGTCCTAATTCCGTAACCCTGAAATTCAACAAATCAAGGGATCTAGGGAAATTAGGCAAGAGGGGGATGAAATCGGATCCAGTTAACGGATTCATGAGATGAGTTTTTGGGGGTTTGTCTCTTTCGATCTTGATTAGCCATGGAACGTGGGTTTGTTGAGAATCAGAATCGGGATCAGCTAACTCGACACGGAAGATAGTCCGTTTGGAGAGGCAGAAACCCCAGGTGGAATCGGAGATTCCGGTTTTTGGGAGAATCGGAAAACGGGAAGTGAAGAGTTGTATGGAGGATCGCCAGGAGGTGCAAACAGATCGGAAACGGACAAGATCGGTCTCGGAGTTGAGGTGTTTGGATATGAGATCAAGAAGCTCTCTCGGAAGTTGAGACCAGTCTGCCATTTTTACATGAATGATAATGAAAACAAATCATGAAATGGAGAGGTTTCATTCACACAAATTACAAAATAAAAACCAAAAAGAACGTGTGATAAATTATAAATTTCTTTAATTTGATTTTAACAAAAATGTTTGGTAATCATCTAATTATTTTATTTGCTACGAAATTACGAAGAAGCTTGTACGTGTGGTCCTTTTCTTGAACTTTTTGTGATTAATACAAAATATCAGAAATTTCAGGAAAAAAAAAAAAAACATCAATTAAAGATTTTTTGCCTCACAAAAGAGAAACTGTAACCTACATGCATACATGTCTTTTTTTTTTTTTTAATGCAACTCTTATTTAAATATAATTATCTATTGATTCCTAATTATTGGAATATTATGTTAGTGATGATTTTATATAGTTTTTCATTAATATCAGTTCGAGTCGCGTGCAGTTTAAGTAGACAATGTGGAATCTTTCAGTTCAATATAATCTTAAGACTTTAATGTAGAATCTTATTCTATAATCTAATATTATTATTTTTATCTTTGTTTAGCTATCTAACCAATTTGCAAAATAATTTTAGAATATAATATGAAAAAATGATAATCAATATGTATCATTCATTGTATTGGTATGATAAAATCCGCAAAAATATAAATTATTTATTTTATTAAAATATTCAACAACATCAATATCTTTTTAAAAAAATAAAAATTCTAAATCAGTTTATGTTTTTAATTTCTCAAAAAAATTTGTGAGATGGTGATTTTATACAACAATTCTTCCATTCAACATAACTTAAATTATAAATAGTTGTTACCATGTTTATTTTATTTTCAAATGCTATTCATCTTCACCACTCAATAAACGTTGAATCAACTTATCCCCTCTTCTAATAAAACACTCCTAGACATGCCACATGTCATCTTCTAAACCTACAATTTGCCACGTGTCCGCTTATTATTCTTCAGTCTTTTCGTTTTCCCGCTCAACTTTTCTACAAAAGATTCATTCGGTTCCTACTTTTTCTCCCCATTCCATTTTTTTTGCATAATCAATTTCAAATCATAAATTACCTTCAAAAAATCTTCATCATAATCTTCAAAAATCAGGAAGAAAATCCCATTTGATTTTCATTAATATATGTTAGCGATTCTTCATGCATACATATTCTTAGTCTTTCTCCCTCTGATTTCTCTCTCTTCGTTCTTTTTCTCTCAAGTCTCAACCGACATTTCTAGGGTTTTGGGTATCTAACGCTATCTCCGGGGTATTAGAAGTTCCTTTCCTTTGAGTGCCTTTGATGTTCTTTACACCACATTTCCACATCAGCATGTTCATCTTCTTCAAGCTTGATGGGGACGATTAACAAATGGAAGTACCGAAATCTAAATCTAACACAAGGTAAGTTAGATTGATTTCTTTATTTTTTCTTTTTTGGACTCCAATTGATGCATTCTTGATGCTATGATGATTTTGACTTTAATTTTTGAGGGGCCCTGTTTCTTTGTCTCTTCACATTCGATGGTTAGGTGGCGTGTGTGGAAAATGATTATGTTGATTCTCCAATGAGAGGATATGTCTTTTGATCTTTTCATATTCTCACTAGGTAAACAAGGTGAAACGACCCAAAAACACGACCCAAAAATTTTCATTTTTTTCCATATAATCAAACCATAATATAAGTATCATAACATAAAACATACATGATGTATCCCCAAAACATAATAAAATATTGTGCGGAAAACTGTATCATACTACATCAATCCAAAACATCAAAATACATCCCCAGGATAAAAGTTATGCTGTGGTGTGTGCGATGCTGTCATCCCGAGCTCTTCCCTTTGCTTGCGAAAGTACCTGAAACCAAACTGAAACTGTAAGCACGAAGCTTAGTGAGCTCCCCCAAACTACCACATACCATACAATAACATATAAACACATATTGGGCCTTGCCCACTGCATCGGGCCGAAGCCCGGAATCTGCATCGGACCGAGGTCCGGAACTGATTGGGACCTTGTCCCCTGCATCGGACCGAAGTCTGGAACTGACTGCATCGGACCGAAGTCCGGAACTGACTGGGACCTTGTCCCCTGCATCGGACCGAAGTCCGGAACTAACTGCATCGGACCGAAGTCCGGAACTGACTGGGACCTTGTCCCCTGCATCGGACCGAAGTCCGGAACTGACTGACTGAACATGGCATAGCATAACACATCAACTAGCATAACACATATACAACATGCTACATCGGGCCGTGGCCCTGAACACATAATACTTAACACATGAAACATAGCACACAAATCCTGTTCGAGCCACGAAGGCATCGAACATACTAACTACTGCATCGGACCTAAATCCGGAAACTACTGCTAACTAAACGGGCCGGCATTGTGGCCTTAGACCCGTTCCTACTGGAAGGAAACTCACCTCGTAAGCTGGCTGCTGAGTGTGTGGCTCGGAAAGCTAACGGCGGCTGCTCCTGAATCTCCTCGGCTACAAGTCCATAAACACACTCAATCAAATACTAAACACTACGCTTGGGGTAAAATGACTCTTTTACCCTCGGTCAAAGTCAACTCTCCTTTGGGCTGACTCGCCGAGTTGGGCCACCCAACTCGCCGAGTCCTACTTTCACTTTTCACTTTTACTCACTGCTACTCGTCGAGTCTGGCATCGACTCGACGAGTACCCTCTTGATCCAAGAACTCAGACAATCTTCATCCGACTCGCCGAGTCGTATGAACAGACTCAACGAGTTGTTCTTGATCCCAAGAAGATTGTCTTGGACTCGCCGAGTTGATGAACAACTCGCCGAGTCCCCCACATTACTGAGTTTACCCTCAACTCGCTGAGTCCACTCCCTAACTCACCTCATCCACTCGACACTGATAAAACTGAAGAACTCGGGACTCGCGACCCAACTCGTCGAGTCGTTCTTCCGACTCGCCGAGTTGCCGCCATGCAACTGATTTTTACTCGATTTTGTTTGAATCCAATGCATACAATTGATAGATCTGAGTCCAATAAGCTGATTTACCACGTAAAGTTTCCAACTTTACGTGCACAACCTCATGAATAAGGGAAATAAGGCTAAAAGATGCACAAAATGGGTAGATCTATGGTTATCATGCAATATAACTCCAAAAAGACAGTAGATCTGGGCTCTACAACACCCCAACATTCAGATCCATAGCTATTTCGACTTAATAAGACGTTCATGCAAGTGTAAGGCTTGGAACAAGCATCAACTAGCTCTTAGGAGAGCTCTAATGGAAGTTTAAAGCATATAACAAGATGGAACTCCGAAAATACCTCAATTAGCTCTGATTTGGCCTTGGATCTTTGCACTACAACACTTCTCCTTGCTTCTTCCTTCTTCTCCTTCTTCACACCTTCACAAAATGGCACCAAAACACATATAAGCTCTTCAAGGGAGGATTAGGGTTCTCTCACTGTGTTCTCAGGGTGAGGGAGGCGAGGATGGGGGCTATAAGGTGGTTTAAATAGTGGGCAACCCGGGGAATTTAGGGTTTCACCCAGACAGATGGACTCGCCGAGTCAGGGATATGGACTCGCCGAGTCCCCAGCTCACGCGTGCCCTCAGGCGCGACCCTACTCGGCGAGTCAGGCTAGAACTCGCCGAGTCCCTTTTGAAAACTCACTATAATTACCAATAAATCAACATACCGGGAACGGGTCGTTACAATTCTCCCCCACTTGTCTCAGACTTCGCCCTCGAAGTCTGCTACGGCTGGATCTGCAAATAACTCCGGGTAGTGCGCTTTCATTTCCTCTTCAGCCTCCCACGTCCACTCAGACCCCTTCCGGTGCTGCCACTGCACCTTTACTAGCTGAATTACCTTGTTCCTCAAGGTCTTGGTCTTCCATTCCAGAATCGCGACCGGTCTCTCGATATAATTCAGGCCGCTATCAACCTGGATATCCTCTAAGGGAACGACTGCCGTCTCATCCACCAAACACTTCCTTAACTGCGACACGTGGAAGGTGTTGTGTATCTGACTAAGCTCCTCAGGGAGATCTAACCGATAAGCAACCCGACCCACCCGGGCCAAAACCCTGAAAGGACCAATAAATCTGGGGCCCAACTTGCCCCTCTTCCGGAACCTGATGACACCTTTCCAAGGTGAGACTTTCAGAAGAACCATATCTCCCACCTGGAACTCCAAGTCCGAACGCCTCCTGTCGGCGTAGCTCTTCTGCCGACTCTACGCAGTCTGCAGCCTACTACGGACCTGCTGGATCAATTCCGTCGTCTTGAGCACCACTTCGGTGCTCCCTATAACTCGCTGACCGACCTCGCCCCAACAAATCGGGGTCCTGCACTTCCTACCATATAACATCTCAAAAGGAGGTCGATCAATACTCGTATGATAACTGTTGTTATACGAGAATTCCGCTAATGGAAGATACGTATCCCAACTGCCCCCAAAATCTAGAACACATGCCCTAAGCATGTCCTCAAGAGTCTGAATCGTCCTCTCGCTCTGCCCGTCAGTCTGAGGATGAAAAGCGGTGCTGAAATGGAGACGAGTACCCATCTCGTCATGGAATCGCTTCCAGAATCTGGACGTGAAACGAACATCTCGGTCCGATACTACCGATACCGGCACTCCATGACGTGCCACAATCTCTCGCACATAGATATCGGCTAACTTTTCCGCCGATATACTCTCCTGAATCGGAATAAAATGGGCACTCTTCGTCAACCGATCCACTACTATCCGTATCGAGTCCACCCCGCGTGCGGTCCTGGGGAGTTTGGTGACAAAATCCATGGTGATATCCTCCCATTTCCACACGGGAATGTCTAACGGCTGCATCTTGCCGTGAGGTCTCTGGTGCTCCGCCTTGACCTTCCGGCAGGTCAAACATCTCTCCACATACCAAGCGACATCTCGCTTCATGCAGTGCCACCAATAATCAGGTCGAAGATCTCGATACATCTTCGTCGCTCCTGGGTGGATAGAAAATCGAGACTTATGAGCCTCG